GCCCCGCTCGCCAGTCACCGCTGCCCCACCCCAATCCCCCTTCCCCTAACTTCAGCTTTGTTCTTTGGGTGTGAATCAAGGAAAAATCAGGATTTAAAATCCTAAAAAATATGATGTGCATGGATCATGCCACAGAGGAAAAATCAGGATTTAAAATCCTAAAAAATATGATGTGCATGGATCATGCCACAGAGAAGAAGAGGAGCAACCCACAAAAAAGAAACTCACAACAAAAACATCAGAAACATAGAGAGAACTAGAAATATTGTGAAAAAACAAATGTTAAATGTCATTTGAGACGGGTTGACTCGGGAGAGAGTAGTGCCCAAAAAAAAGGTCGAAACCCAACGGCCAAAAAGTCCCCCAGACACTAGAAAGGTGAATCCTAGTACTTTGATAGTATTGGGGCGGCACCGATCGCCCACTTGGGGAGCACTGAGGATCCCCGAAAACTTGAGAATGCATTCTCTCAACAAATCATATAGGTCGAGCCCCCAGAGAGGTTCAACCACCCAATACTGGAGTCCTACAAGGGCAAGACCGATCCAACCAATCACATAGTCTTATTTGATTCGACCGTGTGCTTACTGAGGATCACTGACAAGTTGAAATGTTGTCTCTTCTTTACCACACCAAGGGGGTCGGCCCTCAGGTCCATTAATGCATTATTACAATGAGTAATCGCATCATTCGTTGATTTTAATTAACTATTCGCGGTGCAGTTTGCTAGGGCCTAAGAGCATTAGAAAATCTCGCAGGCACTCCTAAAAATCCGACTAGAACAAAACAAGAGTCTTTGCTAATTCATCACACATTTTCAAAAGGTTTGGAAAAGCGAGATCAGGAACCCGCTGTCGTTCGTGCTGCCCTAGCTCAGGGACTGAAGGAAGGACCCTTTTGATACTTGCTAGGCTTAGAAATACCAAAGATGCTAGCCGAGCTACTGGAACTAACCAACAGTCACGTATCAGCAGAATGATATAACTCCCCCATATCATACAAAACCAAGCAAGCCAACCGCCATCCACTAAAGAGAACTGTCGATGGAAAAAGGTGAGAGTTGAGACATGATCCTCACCGTTTGATTCGAGCTCACTGAAAGCTCAAGAATACACTTGGATAACCAAGCGACTGACGAAACTCATCATCGAAGAAGTCAAACCCAATATTTGCAGCTAAAAGCAACATCGATAATTTTTTTTCTAATAAGTAATGTTTATGATGCATACCACAGAAAAGGTGGTGCCTAAGACACGGAGTGGAGAAGATTTGAAGATTTTTGTCCTTAGGAAAAAGGCGGTAAAAAACGTGTTATTAATCTAAAACATTCTACTTTATTACTAATTTCTTAAAAATAAGCGAGCAATTTTTTCTCTAATTATGCACATAATCCTAGGTTCGACTGACACTCAGAGAACTCAAGAAGTTCATGCAAGGAATGATAAATTTCAACTAGAACTTGGGAAACTTAAGCTGACCAAAGCAGCAAAATTGCAGCGGCATTTGTTCGTTCGTGTTCGGTTCGTTTACACCCATAGCGGACAGATGACATCTGACGGTTAAAATTATCTAAAGTAACTGATAGTGACGATAACGTTCGATCGATAAAAAATATATAAAGTAACCGACAGCGACGAATAAAATCCAATCGAAAAAAATAATCTAAAGTAACATACAACGATGATCAAATGTCCGATTGGTAAACTAAGCAAGAACAACCCACAAAGCTCATGCATCATAAAAACCAATGTCTCCCAACTCGAAGCGGGACAAGCGTTGGCAATTTCCTGCCCATTAACGATAATATTTATAATGGGTAGCGTATGAATCACCCCAACAGCGAGTCTTGATGATTATCCGACAAAAGCTGCTATAAAATCTGTTTAATATGTCTAGAGAAAGGTGCGGCCCATCCCAAACGACGGCATAATCGAGCAACATAAACATGGGAGGTATAAGACTTGAGCACGGCGATAACTCAACAAACTGGTCGAAGACATTCTTAAGAAAAAACGATCCATTAATCACCACAGTCGAGCATTTATCATAAGAAAAATAAATATGTAATAAAGATAAAGTGAAAGAAACAAAAGCAAAAACCGATTGAAAGTTTTTTTTATTTCATGATTGAAAATTTACAAAAATTTTCAACCATTTTTTACAAGTGTTCAAAAAAGAAGAATTTTTTTTAAGTTACTGATAAAGCTGAAGGCAAGTCATAAGTTTGACGACCCTCCATCCTCCAACCACTCTCTTCTTCCTCCCTCTCCTCCAAATCCAAGAAAATGGTGGCGGACTTCTCTATGTCAGTCCACTCAGAGGAGACCAACTTCGCTTCAACTTCGAAGGATACTCCTTCCCTAAGCTTCATGGCAAGAAGTTCCACCTGATGCGGTTGAAGGAGAGCTCAACAAAAAACATGTCAGATCTATTCATCATCGTCATCTCCTTCAGGGCGTGCTTGGTTCTCTCCCAGAGTAGCTGATAGCACCCCTGGCGGTCTGCGTATTTCAGCTTCAGTCGCCTTCCCCCGTTCCTCCGCTCCTACCCTCTTCCCGATCGCAGCACACTTTTCCTCAGTCTCTCGTTATTCTCATAGGCTCAAGCCCAAATGACATTGTCGATCGTTGAAAGGAAGTCAGTTGCAACGGAGGAGTCTAAATATCAATCCTTCTTCAGATCGATCAAGACAAACTAACCATCTGAGCTGGTGCACACCTTCGCCCCCTCATCTAGGATCGAAATCCAACAAAAGTGTAGATCCCTTTCGCTTCTTCCAAGGATGAGGGAGGCAAGTCACTTGGATCAGTCGCTGGTATCATCCCATTATGATGAGCCTCCTCTTGGGCCAAATGGAAGGAGGGCTCGCTTCATCTCGAGCAAGAAGATCAAAATAAGAGAGCGATCGACCAAGGGATGGCGGATGTTTCCTACCACAGCCACCCCTTCGCCCCACCACAACCACCCCTTCGCCCCGGCTCGACACCGCTAAGATCGCAGGCCTCTCGACTTAGTGGTGCGAAAAAGGATAAAGAGAAAGAGACAATAAACATAAAGAGACAATAAACATACAATTACATCAATCCCCCCACCCTTATATATATCGAGGAAAATGGAAGGAGCGGAATCATTACCCAAGGGTAAAAACAAATTGTATAGTAATCACATAAAGGAATCAAGACTGAAAAAATAAAAACATTACAAATTATAGAAAGCACACCAAAACTAGGCCGAGAGAAATATTGTACAAGGGGGTCATCCTCCACTTCGCCAAGACAAACCCCAACCCAAGCAGCCTTTTATACAAAATTGCTCCCCCAAACTTGAACCGGTTCACCCGATCTATATTAGCTTGAGCTTGGAGTATGAAGGATATCTCCAAGATGTGCGAGAGTTCCTACGACAAATGATCATCTCCTTTTCCATCATCTTCGCTCTTTCCACACGAGCAAGCAATTCACACATATCCTTGCCTTATTGGATCGCATCCAACCGAGAGAAGGATTTCTTGATATTGTCTGAGCGATGAGCCAACGATCAGGAAGACATTCGACATCCAATAATTGCTTCCTTGTGGGCCTCGGCGGGATTTTCTATATACTCAAACCCACCATTCTCGTTCATGACTCGGTTGTCCTTGATTGGCGCAAGGGCCGCCGTCGTTGGCATCGCGATCAAGTTCCCACCATCTGTCAAAAGTGAATCATCGCCCATGACTATTGAGACCAAGTCAATTGCACCATGAGATAAGAAAGAGGAGACTCGTAAAAAAATCAAAATCTAACAAGTAAGATCGAGGCTCTTCATACCAAAGAATCAGTTCAACTCAGACCATGTTAATCGACATACCGAGACAAAGCACAAATAGCTTCTTTTTCCCCAGGAGATGGTAGAGCATCGGCAGCTACTTGTGTGGGCTCTTCGATCGGCGGTTTTTGTGCTACAGTAGAAGATTGAGCCGACAGATTGATGCCTGAACTTTCCTCTGCCTAATATCGAGAAACAAATCTAACAACCTCACTTGATTCGTCAATGCAACTGTTTTTCTTTTCTTAAAAATGATTTTCTTCTTTTCACATTCTGCGAGGTATCACTTGTCAGGTCTCCCGAAGGCAACATGAAGAAGATCTTTGTTGGAGACATCGATCGAAGGATTTGACACGTTCTCCATTACAATGCTCCAAAGCCGACCGATTCAAACGAGAAGAAATACAAAACAAATATGAAATACAAAAATTCCCTTCACACTTTATTTAGAAAGATCAAAGTCACAAAAATCAAGGGAGTTCCATGGTTGGATCATTGATTAAGAATAAATGCAATCTACTTTTTGCATTAAATTCACTTATTCTTATGGCTGCATCGCTTTCAACAAGTAATAGAATCGTGAACTAAAATGTATACATCAAAAATATCTCAGTGTTGATCCTGAGGAGATCTAAAGGTCCAGAGAAAAATAATATGAGTGTAGCCCACCGACAAAAAAGCGTGAGACTCACTTATCTGACCGAATGTAGCCATCCGAACCAAAGCTAGAAAAAACAAAGCCAACCAAGCCACGAGGAAGATAAAAAGATAACTACATGATCCAAAGTCTAAACTATTATGTTAGAAACGAGAGAAAGAGGTATTCGAGTCAACCACCACGAAGAAACCAACTCGACAGAAAACTCAATCCCTAAGCACATCTAATCATACCGAGAATATGCAAAAGTCCCTCCATCTATTATTAAGAGTTGATAGTCAGATCAAATCAACCGACCAAGCTGATCTCACCGACGACAAACCGATCAAGCTTGGCCGACGGATTCACTCCTACCGACCCGAAATCAATCAAGCTTAGTCTATCAAGTAAGTCATGTCGACCCAAAGCCAATCAAGTCAGTCCTACCAACCCAAAGTCAAAGAATAACCGAATAATAAGTTTATACATGTAAAATACCAAAAATATTATATATAACCCCCATTAAAACAGAGGTAAAAATGAAACATCATGTTGTATTCCCTTTTCTATAAATAGGAAAATCATTTTACATAAAACAAGATCACGACGTATTATTGTTCACTCCCTCTCTCTCTCTCTCTCCTCGTGGCAATATAACCTCCATACTTTAATTGTTAAGCAAGATTCATCAAGAAAAAATTTACCGTATCTATAAGACTCCAAGCCCATGGCAATGCTCCCATACTTGTAAGTAGATAATATTGCTAGTCCGGCTGGATTCCTGCAGAAAACGTTTTGAGCAAATAAAATGCCGGTGGATAAAATTGCATGATTCATGTTTAAATAAATTACCAATCTACCAAGCCCAATATTGGCATCTGCGGAAAAGTCTGGTTTAGCCGATACAAGAGAAACCTGCTCTCATTCAGTAAAAGTAGTGAAGCTGATCAGTGCAGATCAACACAGAAAGCTTGAAATTTATAAGAGTTTATATAAGCATGGATTTTGGAAAAAAGAATAAAAGATTTTATAGTTAGGGATATATATATATATATATATATATATTCCCTTTTCCTTTTAGGGTTCTATCCAAGGACGAGTGATACCCCGGCTGTTTCTAACTCTGAGGTGATGATTATCCTCGACTTCTCCAACCCCCGCAACCTATTTTCCTTGTAGCCAGCCCTAATCCCCCTTCCTGTTGCTGCCGCCAAAACCCGTACAGCACCCCCACCTAGTACTGTAATACCTTTCCTCCCTTCCAACCTATCGCCGCCAGCCCTCCAGCCTCCCAACCTATTGTTGCCACCCTTCCCCCCTGCCTACCTGCTGTTGTCAGCCACTCATTCCTGCCTTCCAATACTGACGCCACACCATTCCAGCCTCCTGCAATCCCCGCAGCCTCCAACCAACCCCTCTAACTATTGTCCAGCCGTCATTCACCACCTTCACCATCGCCCTAGCATATCGTTCATGTTTGTGTTGTTATTCTTCTATTATCAAGAAACGTTATTTGTAATCCTATTGAGTTTCAGCAATAATATTTGAATTTCTACAATGATATAGGTCCGATATTAGTAAGTTTAATGTTTTAATTTCAGTAAGCTACAAAAATTACCTACAACCATGTCCTATAAAAATACAAGGGGCTTCCTTTCTAAACATTTGTAGCTAGACATAAGCCGAATAAACACCCAAAAGTTTTTTGCATAGTTGCCTCAATCATTTTAGGCAGACATACAAACAGAGAGGAAGTAAGAAAATTGTTAGATTGGTGTGAAGTGGGCGCCTAGATGTTAAATATTAACTCAATATCATAAACGAATCATATTATGAGATGAGTTTCAAATTTTGTGTAAAAGCTTGAAAATGTGTTAGGTGATTGTTTCGATATTGACTAAATATCCATACATGAATCATAGTGTGGAGTAAGTATAAGCTTCTTACGAGTTTACTTCTATTGAGTTGATGACTATATAATTGGATGCATGGAAACTTAATTGACAATGGAAGCATAAGATAAGCTTCATCCTTTTAGATTGAGAAGCTAAAGTAGAAGAAAAAAAGAAAGAGAATGTATTCAATAGAAAGTTGTTTCCAGTAGTTCCAAATATCATCTTGGCTGAACTTATGCTTTGATGGCTCGTCTTTAAAATCTATTTTTCTTTAAAGATGTATATGCACCGCTTCTCCCTTAAAAAATGAAGAAACAGAGCAAAGTAGTTGGTAGATTAAAAAAAATATAAATAAACTCTATAGTTAAAAGCATCTTCTTTTCCTTTATTCTTCCATAGCTTTACAACAAGGTTAAGAAATTCCATTTCCCTTCCACTCTAATCAAATATTAAATCAGACATTGAACTTGAAAGAGGTTCAATAGCTAAGAACCGCATCGCATCACTTTTATTTTCTATTTTCATGTTCACTTTTAAAAATAAATTATCTTATTTTTAAAAATACTCAAAACACATATAAGATATTTTGAGTATTTTTAAAAATAACTTTCATAATCAATCATGTTTTAATTTGAAGCAAAACATAAATAATAAAAATAATAATAATAATAAGCGATCGCAAACAAAACGTAAAAAGATTTGACCCTATTTGAATCGGCGTTAAACTGGATGACATAAAAATATTAAAATTATTTTAATATGATTTAAATAATGTAATTATAATATTTTCATTAAATCCATATATAATATTCTATTTTAGAAAACTTCACTCTTGAATATGTGACTTATAATTCTAAATTAAAATTTTAGGAAATAATATTTTAATTATTTTCTTTTTTTTTAATCTAAATGTTTTATTTCTAACCATTCAGTTAAAATCAAAAAAATTAAAAATTGATCAATATTAGAACCGAACAGATATTTAAAAATGGATTTGATTCACCTGATCACAATTTCAAGTACTAGTATTGGCGGTTCAGATTGATGCTTTGTAAAAAGCGGTTTTAGAGGATCAATTCATTACTAAACTGGCTGCGCCCACTAGTCTGTCTGATTTCTAAATCCATGACACAAACAGCTAATATATGAATTACAATACTACTTCCTTATCAGAGCTCAGATAAATTAAACCTTCAAAAACAGTCTTTCTAAACCTTCAATCGAGCATCAGATCTGTTACAATTTGCAAAGCTAGAGAGTATAACATTAACCAAAAATGGAGTCAAACTTTTATTTTGGGGCATTTACATGCATACCACCCAATTCCTATGAATTTACATATCTAACACAAAAACTTTACATTTTACATTTATACAGCTCAAATCTTTCATATCACATTAAAAATATCACTATTTTAACTTTTAAAAAGTGAAATGTAACTTCTCAATCTTAGGTAAGGTGGCATGTATGTAAAATTGAAGTATAGGTGTTAGATAAGTAAATACACAAGAATTAAGTGGTAAGTATGTAAATCTGCCTTCTATTTTACCTGGTGGCAATGTCTGGATAACCCTTGGCTGTCAATAGAACGCATGGGACCAGATTGAAAAGGCGATCTTCAGCTAATCTTTGGAAGATGGCATCCTAAATTGTGTTAGTAAGTTTATATAACTAAAAATGAAGAAAAGAGTTCAAAAACCCAGACCGACAATTTAATTTGAAATTATTATAACGGTCAATACCTTCTCAACTACAATAATATATCGAGCATCAGATAGGAATTCTAGCTTGTTTAATAGATTCAAGTCTCCACTAATAGCATATCCAGAAGCTCCAAGCTCCGAACAATCAACTAAGCCCCCCTTTTGATCCTAAGTACATGTTTCTCACACTTAAAATAACTTCCACTGAAATTACATTAAGAAATTGCAGTTCTTCATACGAATAAATATCAAGTTTTCTTCATTTTTAGGGATGATTACATACACAACACTTGAAGGTTGAAACATTGCTATTTACAAAACAAGCACCAAGATGAACTTTTTAAACTATCAAATAGATGCATTTTTATGTGAGTTACCATCAAACCATTATCAATTTGATTAAAATGAAAAACATGAGTTGGTGTTTTATCGTGAATTCTATATTTGAGTGATAATTTTAAAAATGAATGTAAATGGGTGATAAGGGAGTTAACCAACAACAACGCAAAAAAAGATATTACTATGCAATTCAAATAATGCCAACCAACCAAAGAAAAAATTTGAAATTGCAACAAACATGACACTAACTCTCACTAGGATTGGATCAATGGGGGTGGTGGAGATCGTCGGCGAGGGTCTGAAAGGTGATTGGGTGATGAAAAGGGGCGATAGTCAAGAAAGAACAGAAAAGCGGCTGTTATTCAGATTTAGGACAACAAGCAAACAGCAGGGAATCGATGCGGGAGGGCTGTCTGGAGCAGTGGAAGCAAATGAGCAGGTGGTTTGGGGTTGGAGGCAGCCAGGAGGAGGATTAGGAGTGGTTGGGAAAGCAAAAAGAGCAATGGGCGGCTGTTCTGAGGCATTGGGATGAGGCATGGCAGCAGTTGGAGCGATTTCTGGGAGTGGCAGCAAGTAATAAAAGGAGGGAGGTGGCTGGTACGGCTGGAACTGCAAGTAGACAGCAAAGAAGTCTGGGAAGTAGCAGCAAGGAAGAGGCGGTTGAGAGGAAGGATGTGGAGGGGTAGAGATAAGGATAATCACCACATTGGAAGCGAAATACAGCCGGAGACCACTGGACTCTTGGATACAGCTCTAGAAGAAAAAATCTGAGACGTAAGCAGTTGTCCCGAACAAACTCATGCAAGAACTGACCTAAAGCACCACAACATCAACCTATATAGACCTAGGGTAACTTTGGACTGGGCCCCACTATAGTTGGGCTGAAATCACACAGATGAAGGATTGGCCGACCCTCAAAGTTTTTCTTCTAAATCGATCGAAGCCTTGATGTTTTTCTAGCATCTGATTCGGACTGGCTTGATTCTGTGCCCAACAGTGGATGTCTAGCTTTGACCTCATCTATCAAAGCTTTTGATCCTCGTAGTATGGTGTTAGATCGGTCATGTTAAAGGTGATGGAGATACTATAACACCCTGGTAGGTCTATGTTAAAGTTGACATTCCAAAACACTTCCTAATAGAATAAATATTCATCCTCTTTTGACACACCGAAGCTACATATGACATAGATTCTCGCAAAAAAAAACTCTCGAGCCATAAAACTATAATTTGCTTCTCTCGCTCTTCATACTCAACTAAGTGTATCTGATAAAAAATTTTGTTAGGAAGAATCAACTCTGAAACAAAATCTAGGGCGGGTTAGGCAACTTTCAATGGAAACCATTCTGGAGAATCATTTTCATCTCTGGAAGGACTTAAATCACACTGTCGGGAAGATTTCAAAGCAGCAACTCACCATGCTCGTCTAGCCATCTGATTGTGGGTGTGCAGTTGAGCTGAACTAAATTTAATACTCATATTACTGCATATAGTCTTCCTAAAGCAGCTCAAAACCTTCTCACCTCTGACATATTGGATTTCCCTCAGCAACGGTCACTTAGGAGGTTGACTGTATGTCTGAAATCCTGATATTTTCTTACCTGGAGTATTTGTGTATGGTGTTAGTTGCTCAAACTTATGACCCTCTTGGATAAACTATATCAGTCCTATTGATGCACCTCTTACGGCATGCAAAAACATAATTCATCACACCACATCCACAAACTCTACAGGAATG